GCCCTGCTTCTGGTTGTTCTATTAGTCCATGCCATCTTATGGCTATGGGACTATTTGATTGTGCGCCTCACATGGATGCCTTACATCATTGCCAAGAAGCTCAGGGAATAAGGGATCCATGGACCTCCCTACAAGTTTTTCAAAGGCTGCAACGAGGACATCAAGCGAATGAAGGAGAAGGCATATGGTAATTTGAATGCAAACTTAGGGTATAATTTGCATTATCTTTCGTAATGACGGTGTACAAATTTTAGGGGCTATTTTATATTAATTTCATAATGGCAGAGGTGGATTATATAGATACAAATTTGGGGAGTTATTTTGAATTATTTTTCATAATGTAGGGAAATTTAGGGGGTTATTATGAATTATCTTTCATAATAGCAAATGTGGATAATTTAGATACACATATACAGTATTATTTGGAATTATCTTTCATAATGGAAGAGGTGTATGATTTAGATGTAAAATTATGGAGTTACTTTATGTATTTTTATAATGACAGATGTGGGTAATTTTATAAAAAAACAGAATAGATCCAATGACTATGTCTACCATTAAAGATAAGATGTTTCTGATTATTGTGAGAATATTTGGAATTTATCTTTTTTCCTAGTGTGTCGGGTGAGAATTAACGTGGAGCATTTGTTGAAGTCTCGAATTGGTAATAGTAAGATTTTTTTATGAAGGAAAGTAATTCTACTTAGTCATTGAAAACAAAATTGTCACTTTCAGCTTTTGATGACATGTTGATGGATGGCACGTGTGTATATAAACACCAGAGAATCTATTCAAGAACACATGGTATTCAGACATAAATAGTAGTAGAACATGTTGATAATTTAGATGCAAAATTAGGAGGTTATTTAATGTATTTTTATAATGACAGTTGTGGGTTATTTTTATAAAACGGAATAGATCCTATGGCTATGACATATGTTTCTAATTATTGTAAGAATTTCTAAAATTTGCCTTTTTTAGCGTCACGGGTGAGAATTAATGTGAAGTGTTTGGTATTTGTTGGAGTCTCTAATTGGTAATAGTAAGATTTTTCTATGGAGGAAAGTAGATCTTCTACTGAGTCATTGAAAACAAAATTTTTACTTTCAGCTTTTGATGACATGTTGATGAATGGCTCGATGTATATAAACACCAGAGAATCTGTTCAAGGACACATGGTATTCGGACCACCATATAATGATGATAGATAAATAGATATATATACTAGTGGTGGACAGTAATAGACTTTTTCATGTGCCAAGCAAACAACAGTGCATGATGTGTAGCAAATCCATGTTAATAGTGATGGCAAGTGCAATATCGGGGGATTGAGGTCCTATTGAGATCCAAGTACGGTCTAAAGTTTAGCCACTAGATCCGTGCACACCAAGAAATCCGTGCACGGCACCGTGTTTTATTTCAGAGTTCCGATTCTATCATCATTCTGCAAATTATGCGATGCTGGCTGCGGCAGTTATTTTGATACCGTATATTTTTTGTTTTGTGGCTACGATCGTAATTTTAACTTGGTGTAGTATTAAGCACACGTTTTGAATTGTAATTTCACTTACAATATATAAAATAATTCTAAATACAAATCTAGTGTAACTATTTTTATAGCATAAACATTTTATATGATTGGGCTAATTATTAATCAAAGATAATAAAATTTGAATTTTGAAATATATATAAGTACAAATTTATGTAGGGACGTCGGCGCAACGTGATGATAGAGATGGCAGCAATGGCACAATTAAATTCTCATGCTAGCCCAATAAGTATACAAAAGTAGTCATCTTATGACAGTTCCACTCAGAAACTAGTTATAAAAAAAACTCAGAAACTAGGGTGGTTTTAGGGTGCTAATCAAGTAAAATAATGATGCGACATTAAAATTAAGAAAAAGAGAAGGAAATGATTTTTTTATATAAAAAATATGTTATCAGGAAACAAGGTAGCCGATAGGAAATGAGACAAGTAATTAAGTAAAAATAACTTCGAACCAATATGATTTATATATATATGGTCTAGATAATTTATTACTCTATTTGTCTTCAAAATATAATTCTTATTTTTTAAGGAGTTAAACAATTTCAAATCTAATCAAACCTATATAAAAAGGTACTAACTTCAACGATACCAAATAAGTATTATCAGATTAAAGAAAATATTTTCACAATAAACCTATCTAGAAACATAAATGTTAATACTATTTTTTTTTTCAAATTTAACAAAGTTTTGACTAACTCAAAATCTAGAATTATATTCTTTTTTACGGAGTGAGCAGTAATGAGTATGGAAACTATGTTGTTGGTTCGAGACTCCTCCTTGTCAGTTCATCGGTTTGTATCACAATTTGACATAAAGTGGTGGTAGGCAATACGAGGACTGACACAAGACAAGTGAACGCACCAGAGATTTGCATGCTGACCCACCGTTGTCACACGAAAATTTTTCCACGGAAGCGCATTATTTGACGTTATCTATCATGGCATGCGCGACAACTGCTGGAGCTGCATCTCTCCACGTCTTGGGCTCTCAGCGTACTGGTGCGCCGCTCGCCGGCCACAGCTCGGAACTGCCTCTAGCCACTCGTTGACGTACTCCATATATTCTCGAGTTCTCAACGTGTCGACTCCATATTTCGCTTTGTACATACACCGATACACGTGTTAGTTGCTGCTGTCTTGGGGCCTCCTTGTAATAATTGCATATGCAACCCATGTCTTAAAAGAAATCTTCTGTTTTTTTTATAAATAAAACATTGCATGTTAGGGAAATAAGAAAGGAGAAGGAAGTATAGGTATCGAAGTGAGAGAAGTCAATAATAAAATAACAAAGCAGTCACTTACAATCGTTTCTCTCCAAGACTGGATAAGCACAGAAGATAGTGACCACACATTTTTCTTATGTTTTGTAGGAAGTTTGGTGTATGAAAGTGCCACTAAAAATTAAGATATTGGACTCAAAAAAGGTCATTCTAAGAATAAATTAGCAAAGAGGAGATATAAATGATAATAAATTTTGTTGTTTCTGTAGCAATATGAAACTATGAAACATATTTGGTACTTGGTTAAAGTGGGGAGGACAAATACAAAATACTCCCTCGGTCCCAAAATAAACATTCGTCTCATATTTGAAGAAAGTCAACAAATCTTAATTTTGACTAGGTTTATAGAAAATAATATCAATATTTGTATCTCGAAATAGATATATTATAAAAATATATGACATGATTAATATAATGATGCTTATCTGGTATCATAACTGTTAGTGTTTTTACATATTTTCAGTCAATGTTAAAATTATTTGGCTCATTGCGAAGATGGAGAGATATTTTGCTGTGTGTTGGGCTATTTGGCTCGTAAGAAATGACTTTGTGTTTAATAATTATCAACTGAAAACATTTTTACAGTTCAGAGGACACATTGGCTCCGATCCTGGCTACTGTTACAACATATCGAGGAACTAAAAAATAGAAGTATCGGTTACAAAAGATATTATCTACATTTGAATCTTCAATTAGGTTTATTATACAAATATATTCCATAATTAATTTAGTGATGCTTATTACACATCATAAACATCAATGTCTTAAGTTAAAAATTTTATATTTAACCAAATTTATAGAAAAGTATAAATATTTGTGACACCAAATAAGCATATCATGAAAAATATAGTTTATAGTGTATCTAATGATACTATTTTGGTGTTATAAATCTTGGCACATTTTTTTATAAATTTGATCAAACTTAAAAAAATAACTTAAAATAATTTTAGAAATTAATTTATTCAGAGACAGAGGGAATACTCTTTTATATATATTTTTGAGACTTTCTAATTTTTTATACTGCCTTTAACCAAAAGAAAATTAGAAAAAAAAACTAATGGCGCTGATGCTCCAACCACCCCGATAAATACAATGACGGGTCCATAATAGGTAGGTATCACACGTCTTTCCTGAATCAAGACCAGATATTCTCCGTTCCATGGCCTTCCATGTGCCCCTCCTCGACTCCTCCAAGTAGCTCTGCTCATGGTCGCCGCCACGCGGCTGTGGGGGGATGGTTTTCAATTTTTGCTCAACCAAATCATGATAAGCCAAAACTTATGCTTGCAAAAATCAAGATTTGACAAAGTTAGTGCAAAAAAAATATGTGTACAATTAGTTGAATGCCATAACAATATTAGAAAGTATTTTTTTCTCTCTTATGCAATTTAAGAAGTTTCTAGAAACTTGTCAAAATTTTAACTATAAACATTGGCGTTCCAATTCTTTGGCAATATAATACACCAATTGATAAAAAGTTTTGGTTTGCAATGATTTTGGTTTGGTAAAAATTGAAAGCCAACCAAACAAGCCTAATGGGAAAAGAAGTCTTGGTGCGCCTCGTATGGAGGCCGTACGCCATCAATGTACACCAAAACGTCTTAGAGAAGTGCTCGAATGCTTGTAGCTAATCGTTCGATGCCGATTCATTTTGTGAGGAACGGCTGCACGACACATCAGTGTGAGGGTAATAATGTAAAAAGAATCCTCCAATGGATGAGTAGCCGTATAGGTGGAGGTCTGCTCCTTTGCCGGCTCGCACGAAAACGGAAGAGACCAACAGATTACGAAGGAAGGGGATCGGTGATGGTCTGATGGATGATATCGGCTTGGGTTTGGGCTAAGCATGGGCTGGTCTTTAATGGGCCGGGCTCATGCTGGATATAATTGAAACATAATTAAAGAATTCATTAACTAGATGAGCTATACTTTGAGATCCGCGTAATAATATATTTAGAAAAAGGAGTATTGGGGCGCTTCTCAACGTTTTCTTATACTTTAGACTTTAGAGAAGAAATATAGTATACGTAGTATATGCTGCCTTTGCCATAAGAAAATAAAAATAAAAAATAACTGCTGGCCCTCCTGTTCCCACCACCTCGATATATACAATATACAACGGGCACCATCTTGTTCGCTTGCATCAGGTCCTCCATTCCATCATCGATCCATGGCCTTCCCTGTGCCTCCCCTCCTCCTCCTCCTCCTCCTCACTGCTCTGCTCGTGATAGCCGTCACGCGGCTGTGGGATTACGTCTTGGTGCGCCTCGTATGGAGGCCGTACGCCATCACCAAGGGGTTCAGAGAGCAAGGGATCCATGGACCCTCCTACAGCTTCTTCAAAGGCTGCAACGAGGAGATCAGGATCATGAAGGAGAACACCGACGGTCTCGTGCTGGACGTCGGCGACCACAAGTACCTCCCGCGGATCGCGCCACACTACCTCAAATGGAGGGCTCAGTACGGTATGTGATGTCTTTACCGATGATGATGATGCTTGCCAATCATTTGCTTGTTTGTGCCCCTGGAGGTAATTGAGCAAGAGCAAGCTATGGTCTCCTAGGTCAAGTGCCCTGTTTCTTTTTTTCCTTCCTTCCTGCGAGCATATAAGTATAGAACAACTTAACCCAGGTAAAGCCATCTTCTGATGACAGAGGCTGGGATCTTTGTTCCATTATTAAAAAAAAAACTCAGGTAAACAGCCACGCAGTGAAAGAAGACAAAAGGAGCAGTAATGAAAGTCACAAATCTTTTTGGGAAATATTGACCAAAAAAATAATTTAGAGAATGACAAGAAAAATATGAATATATAGAGACTTATTGTTGATAACAATTCTGAGACGTAAAGCCAGAGGTCTATCACACAGTGGCATGGTAGGAAGTACGTACTAGCTACCTCTGTCCTGAAAATGATGTAATTTTAATTTGTCATAGCATTTAATTATATCACACATCAGCTTGCTAGGAAGTACTAGCTACCTAGCTAGCTCTGTCCTGAAAATGACGTAATTTTAGTTCTGTCTTTAATCAAAGTATTCAAAGTTTAATTAAATTTATAGAAAAATACCAATATTTATGACACAAAATAAGTGTATTAATAAAAATATATCCCATCACAAATCTAATGCTATCTATTTGGTACAATAAATATTGATATTTAAAAAAAATTATTCAAAGTTAAGACGGTTTGACTAGGTAGTATGTATACTAGTAGAATTTTGTGTTCTTTTTTTTTCGAGGAGGAGAATTTTGTGTTCTTTTCTGAACGGATGTACTAGTATATATACTAAAACCTTGTGGCATACAAATCAAGTGACTGTATCAATGCCTCGCATCGCAGGAGAACCATTTCTGTACTGGTACGGGCCACAGGCCCGAATTTGCATATTTGACTATGAACTGGCAAGGCAAATCCTTTCAAGCAAGTCTGGGCATTTCGTGAAGAACGATGCGCACCCTACTTTGTTGGCTTTGGTTGGCAAGGGACTCGGGTTTATGGAAGGCGCTGATTGGGTGCGCCATCGCAGGGTAATCAACCCTGTTTTCACCATTGATAAGCTTAAGGTAATGTCTATTAGCTCTCTTGCATTTATAGACACGTTCCTTCACAGTATGCCTGAGAAGCAAGAACAATGCTGTGTTCATTACAGATTGTGACAGAAACAATGCTGGATTTTGCTCAAAACATGGCCAGTGAGTTGGAAGCTGAAGCATCCCGAAACGAGAAGGCAGAAACAAAGGTGGATATAAACAAACACTTCAGCGATCTAACAGTTGACAACATAGCCTATGCCATCTTTGGAAACAGTTACAGGTTAGGTAAACAAGTCTTCGAGGCACAAACTGAGATGTTGGGGATCACCATGGCTACTTTCCTTGACGTGCCCATACCAGGATTCAAGTAAAAAAAAAATCCCACATTCCTACAATTTCTGTACTCCATCAGTTCATTTCTTGAAACAATTTTCGTGCACAGCTAGTCCTTATGTGTTATTTTTCTCAATTCAGATATCTTCCAACCGAAGCCAATCGGCGAAAATGGATGCTTGAAAGGAAGCTCAAGAGCTTACTCAGGCAGATCATACAGCCACGGTTAGCGAGTGGCGAATACGGAAATGATCTGCTGGGTGTGATGCTTGACTCCAGCACTGAAGCCAAGCAAGGACGGAAGCAAGTGGATGGTCTCAGCTTGAGCATGGAGGAGATCATACATGAGTGCAAGCTCTTCTTCTTCGCCGGTCATGAGAATACAGCCCTTCTCCTCACTTGGTCAGTGTATCTGCTCAGTATATACCCCGAGTGGCAAGAAAGGCTCCGGAAGGAGGTCTTCAGGGAGTTCGGGAGGGAAGCTCCTAACCCCAATGCGCTCAACAAATTGAAAGAGGCAAGAAATAGATATACATATATAGCTGTCTTTCTCTTGTAATCTTGTTATATATATTTGATTTGATGATCTGATCACTATGTTCCTGATTCGTCTGAGATAAGCTATTTGTTGCAGATGACAATGGTGTTGTTTGAGACCTTGAGGCTCTACTCGCCTGCCCTCTTCATGCAAAGGAAGACCTTGGCCGACATGACCGTGGGGTCGATAAAGCTGCCCAAAGGCACAGCAATTGTGATACCTATTCCGATCATGCATCGAGACAAGGATGCTTGGGGCGACGACGCGGACGAGTTCAATCCGATGAGATTTGAGAACGGGATCTCGGGAGCAGCGAAAGTTCCTCACGGCCTGCTGGCGTTCTCAATGGGACCAAGGAATTGTATCGGCCAGAACTTTTCGATGCTGGAAGCCAAGTCGACGCTGGCACTGATGCTCCAGAAATTCTCCTTCGCTCTCTCCCATGACTATGTGCATGCGCCCGTCGATCTCTTCACTCTCAAACCTAAGTTTGGTCTTCCCGTGATTCTGAGGCCACTCAAAATATAGATTGCTCAACCCCATGTGTACCGCCTTTTAAACCTCCATCCATATATGTCTTTTAGACACCATCTTACTCAAAATGAATTATACAATTGGTAACCGAAGAAATCAATGACATAATGCAGGTATACATTATTCAATCTAGGCTCTGTTTAGAGGGGATTCTTCTCGGCTCTGGCACTGTAGTAGTACTATAGCGGAGCCCGAAACCCCCCTAAAATGCAGCTCCTGCGGCTCCTCCGTTTCGTAGTTCATTTTAGCCGGAGCCGGAACCGGAGCCGGTTTTCCTGGTGCTGAAATAATCTACAGTGTTGAACATTGCTCTAGAGTAAAACAGGAGTCAGAACCGGAGCACTTGAGAGTCATGCCAAATGGAGCCTTAGTCTTTTGCCATACTCTTATTTGGCTCTAAAATTGCTTGCTTGGATATTTTATATTTCAGGTAGCGATCGAGACGTCGTTCACGATCAGACATTTAGAATTTGGTCTCTACCTGCGCTAAGTTTTGCTTTGAGCAGTACATTAAAATTCACAAGGCTTTTTCTGAACCATTATCCAACTCGAACAGATAGGCTTCATGTGGACGATGACAGCATTTGATTAGCGACCACCCGCCGGCCGGGTGAAAAAAAATCATATTGACAATTTGACATTTTGGGGCCTAGCGCTTTATTCAAAGCTTCGATTCGAGATGCGCCGCTCCGAGGGTGACAGCCATAAACCACCGATAAAAATAATTTGGCTAAAAAAATTCGTTAGCCATCAGGTGAGTCACGGGATCAGTATTAAATCCCATCCTTATTTGTACTGGCGACCCTAGTTTATACGGTAATGGGCATCCGGTTGTTGGCCATTTACAACACGAGGCTACTAAAAAACTGCCCATACGTCAAGCCAGACTGACTCCAATTTTTTTTAAACTTCAACTACGATTTTGTTAATTACTAATCCTTCCATCTCAGAATATATCAACTCCAGAATGTTGACAAGTGTTTGTCTACTTGATACATAGCCAGAAATTGATTTATTTTAGGATATAGTGAGGGGAGTACTCATGAGATCCATCTTTTGTTTGGCAATTTTCAAGTTTTAGATTAAACCCATCCACTAACATGGTTCATTAGTATACAAGCGTAAGAAGTGGCATAGTTTCTAAGCCAGTCGACGCCTATAGAAGCTTCCCCTTTGTCGTCTCTGCAGGGGATGATCCTATCTCCATAGGTTCTTTTAAACGTATCTTTGGATTAGAGACAAATAGAGATAGAATGGTTCCATTCCTAATTTTTGAATGGAACCATTCTTGTTCCGTGTTTGGTTGCAAGAGATAGGACCTTCTCCATTCCTTGTTTGGTTCCGGGGCATCAAAATATGGGATGAGCCAGTGTCGGAGCTAGGATCTTGAAGTTGGGTATTCCGGCTTCAGAAAAAAAAACCAATACATAGCAGTATAGGTTTCAAATCCAATGCATACAGCTAGAAAGGAAAGGAGGCGACAAATAGGTAGCTGTAGGCTGACTTTCTCCTTGAAAAACAGCAAATTAACACCAATATACATTATACATATGAGTACACACATATATATATACACACACACATACATACATAAAAGTGTACCAAAATAGTTGGGTATTCCCGAGAATACTGTGGAATACCCTTGGATCCGCACTGGGATGTGGAGCCTATTTTTTTATTCTCTATTTTTTCTTTCTTCTTCCTTCCCAAAGATGCAGAATTGCTGTCCCGCCCAGCAGTCATTGACCTGCCCACACGCATGCGACCCCTGTGTTCCTGACTTTTGGCCCGCAGTCGTCCCCATGCCACCACGGCTTAACCTGCATGCGCCGGTTCTTCGTCCGCCCACACTCACTTCTTCGTAGCCGCGCTTGTAGTCACCCTCGCATCATTGTCCCTGTGCCTGCACCCCCACCATCATCCCCGCGCTTGTAGTTGCCTCCACATCATCGTCCCTGTGCTCACGCCCCTCAATGTCGTCCTTGTGCCCGCACCCCCTACCGTAGTCCACGCGCCCTGCAGTCACCACCATGTTGTCGTCCCTATGCCCATGCACGCTAGTCCACTGCTTGCCCATGCTCGCCTCATCGCAGCCGCACCCATCTAGCTACCGCAGTAGCTGACCCCGCACCTGCACAACATCTGGCCTCACATGCACCACCGGCTTGGCCAGCCTTGATCGCTACCAGCTCGCACTCAGCCATTACACACGCGAAGAAGAGGGACAATCCCCATCCCCTCATTTTTAGGGACGTAGGGGTCTCTGATCCAAAAGGATGTTCTCAAAATATTCTTAGACCTTATCCTTATTCTCCCTCCACCAAACACCACCGAAAACAGAATCAACATTTCCCATCCCTCCTTATCCTCAACATTTTCTTTTGTTGCTGATGTGTGCCTGTGTGTCCATAGTCGAAGCTCAATGATACAAAGAAATTTAAAAAGGAGCAAAGCCAGATGCAAGTATATATAAAATATACATATCACAACGTCAATGATGCACTAATAAAGACACCAAAGTTCTTTATGATTATAAAACAAGAATAGCAGCCCTACAGCCCGAGCAAGTTGCTATCCAACACGAAGTATCTAAGCACAAAATTTTACATTGTAAGGCTTTGACAATGACATGTAATTGCGGTGGTTAGTTATATGTTATCTTCCTTTTCTCCCCTATTGTCACTTGCCCCAACCGTAATATACTTGTTGTTTCCATGTCAGTGGCTACTGAACCATCATATTTGCACATTTCTAAGGCCAACCTTAATAGGGATTTTATTTGAGTTTCATTTGCATTTAATATTATGACACATCAACAGATTTGATAACTTACATGTTAATTATAAAGAGAGATAAAAAGAGTTTTATAGAGTTTTATCTAGATGAAACACGTTGTCATAGTTATCAACACAAAAGCCAGTTCAGGACAGCTTTTTGTTAGTTTATTAATTTTCTGATTAAATTGGAACCAAAGAAAATATTTAATTGGAAATGAAGTATAAGTGAATGTTTTTATGATAAGAGTTGCAATAAGTAACATGCATGTCTAATTTAACCAACGTTGGATTAAGTATGCGTGTTTGTATATAGATTTATCCCACATGAGGAGAAGATTGGCATAGTACTTATGCTAGTCAATCCTACATGGCGGGAGAAGTTTTGTGATGACTCATATGTTTTTGTATCCCGCATAGCGAGAGAAGTTTGGGTAGCTCTTATGCTATCCTAGTATTAACCATGGCACAATAGAAATGCACCGTCATGGTCAATACTAATCAAAAGACAAGAAAAAGATACAAGCATGACTTGTAAAAGTACAGTTAATAAAGGACCTCGTTGAGTTCTTGAAGTGAAATAAGAAAAGTGTACTCCTAAATAGATCAAGAAGTAACTTTGTTTACATGACATAATCATGTGAATGAAGTAAGTTTTAAGTCTCTTCGTTCACATGTTTTCTGAATAGTTCTCGAAATTATGGCAGTAAAGTTCATGCCATATTTCGAGGAGGAGAATAGTAAGATCAATTAAGAAAGATACTATTCATTAAGAGTGAGATGAAGATCAATTAAGAAAGATACTCTTCATTAAGAGTGAGATAAAAATTAATTAAGATGAATATGATCGTCGGAGGAGTACAACGGTCATAATAATGATACCCCTAAGCAGAGAAATAGCTAAATTCCTGGACTCTTTAAAGTTTCGATAGGAAGATAGCGTAGCCAGCCTCAAATATATAAAGGCGGTGCTTAAAGCGCCATATGAGGTTTTAACAGATTAAACCCAAACAAAAAATTTGAAGGTACACTATCTTTTTTAGAAGATGGGATGATCTGGGAGAGCATGGTATGTAGAGATCTATGACTTGAAGAGAAGCGGGACTGTGTGCCCACTTTAGTGATTCAAAAACAACGAATTTCTCAATACCTGTTGATGTTGTATAACTTATACAACATCTGTTGTTGGCTCTTTGAAGAAGATGAATAATGCAAACAAGGATCTTGTAATACAGGAGCCTGTAGAATCAATTGCCTCTTGGCAATGAAGAGCAACAATAGCCCTATATAAAAGTGCCAGTAACTGAGGCCCCAGAAGGTCTTAAAGAATTAGTAAACTAGTTTTTCTGATGACTATGAAGTCTATGTTAGTAAAGAAATTCAAATAGAGGGTGATCCCATCTCATTTGAAAAAGCTATGAGAAGCGTTTACTCGTCTAAATGGCAAGAAGTTATGGAAGTTAAAATGAATTCGATGAATACCAATGTTGTTTGGGACTTAGAAGAAATTTCTAATAGAGCCAAAACAATAGGCTGTAAATGGGTCTGCAAGACAAAATGTGACTCCAAAGGGAATGTAGAAAGATATAAAGCATGACTTGTAGCAGAAGGCTTTACGCAAAGAGAATAAATAGATTACGATGAGAGTTTTCTCTCTAGTCTTATGCAAGGATTCTTTTAGAATCATAATGGTGTTATTGGCACATTACGATTTAGAGTTACATCATATGGATGTAAATACGGCATTCCTCAACGGGGATTTGTATGAAAACGTTTACATGGCACAACTCAAAGGTTTTGTCGTGGAAGAAAAAGAACGTATGGGATGCCGCCTGTAGAAATCCATTTATGGGTTAAAACAAGTATCTAGATAGTAGTATTTGAAGTTGATGAAACGATAAGAAAGTTTGGGTTTTAAAGAAAATGAGAAGGACAATAGCATTTATGCGAAGTTCAAGAATGGAAAATTCATTTTCCACATCCTGTGAATAGATGACATTCTACTCACTAGTAGTGATGTTAATCTATCATTGGAGACGAAGAAGTTTTGTCCTCAAGTTTCAATGTGAATGATCTTGGTGAAGCGTCATTGGTTCTAGGAATCGAAATTCACCGAGATAGAATAAAATGGGATATTATGACTATCGCAAAGGCATACTTAAAAATGATTCTAAAGAAATAAAGTATGCATGCGAGTAAACCTACGCCTGCTCCTATAGTCAAGGGTAATAGATTTGGAAACTTTAAGTGTTCCAGGAACCGATATGAGATTGATCAAATGAACATGGTTTCATATGCTTCAACTGTTGGAAGCTTGATGAGTGTACAAGTACAAGTAAGAACTTACCCTAACGTAGTTTACGTATCCGGGATATTTTGGCAGAAGTCCAGTCCAAATATAGATCACTAGAATAGAGTTGAGAATGTCTTGCGATTTTACAAAGTATCATAGGCCTCATGCTGAGTAAGAAAGAACAAGTACTCTCAAATAGTTGAGGGTACAAATGTTAAGTCTTGGCGAGATGTGTAGTGAAATCCACAATAGTTGCTAACACTCGCAGTTGCAGTATTATTGTGAAAAAGCTCCAAAGAAATAGTTGTGGTGACATCAGTGATGCATACCATAGTATAACTTGATATGAGGCTTAAGGAATAGGCAAAAGGAGGTTAAGGGAATTAGTACCCGGATTTAACAATGGTAGTCAACAGCAATAACCATTTAAAGTAGTTAACTCATAAGACAACATGTCAAGTGTGCTACTAAACACATTGACAATGAGTTATATGTTGTAAAGGAGAAAATCTAGAATCATTTGAAAGCATTGAGGATATGAGTACTATCGGGGACCTAATACCGGGGTACCCAATGAGGTGGAATTAATAACCATCGAACGTTGACGCTCCCGGTCAGACAAGAACGCTACTACACTTCTTGCCCGAACGATGGAAGATTGGTTCCACCTCGCCCGACCCCCAAGGGCCAAGACTCTGCCTCGCCCAATGGTGGAGGGCTAGCTCCGCCTCGCCCGACGTCCGAGGGCAGGCTCTGCCTCGCCCGATGGCTGAGGATAGGCCCTGCCTCGCCCGATGACTGAGGACTGGCTCTGCCTCGCCCGACGTCTGAGGGCAGGCTCCGCCTCGCCCGATGACTACAACCTGCTCCTTCATAAAGATGAGCACAGGGTACGACGGAACATTCGAGTCAACCGCAGTATCGAGGGCCATGCCCTACATGCCTGCAAGAAGGTACCATCAGGATACGATGGGACGGGCGCTTTAAGCCCTTTCTGACCTGACAGATCCTGAATAGTGTTGTAGGCGCCGAATTTTGTCCCACAGTGTTGTAGGCGCCGCCATCAGCCCTCGGGTGCGGATACTAACACAGACATATGACAACCACTACAGTCCAAGAGAGAACTCGTGTCATCAACAGTAACAGATGTATAGTCACTTCCCTGTCTACTCCCCGCAGAGTCATGGCTCGGCACCCTGACACACTGCACTGTCCATTGGGGGAGGATGGGACATGACCACTCGCTGAAACAAAGCCAGAGCGCGGCCCTATGAAGATCAGTGAACACGCCATCCCTGACATAGTCTGTCATGTCAGCAAGGTAGGCACGGCGGGAAAGGAAGACCCGGCTCCTTCGAAGGACCTTCTCTACCCTCTGGTTTTTCCTTTTTCTCCCATCTATAATTTTTGCTGCCCTATGGTCTATAAAAGGGGGAGCAGGGCACCCCGCTAAAGGAGACGGATCAATTCCACACACAGCATACAACCAAGCAGCAACCGAGCTCTTGGCATCCTTTCAACCCTTCCATCAGAGACTTGGGACCTGTCCCTCTCTCGACCATTTGTACCTCCTACTACGAACCTTTTTCAGTACTAATAACATGAGCAGTAGCAAACTGGACGTAGGGACATTCAGCCCAAACCAGTATAAACCTTGTGTCCTTTAGTACACCATTTGGGCCTAACGCGTAACAAATATAAATTTACTAGTTGGTGTTTGTTCGAAACACCGACAGTTGGCGCGCCAGGTAGGGGCCTTTGCGCATTCCAAATCAGGCCTCGGATGGCTAGCCACGCAATCAGCTAGGTCCTAGGCGCACACGTGCGTTTTGGTGACCTGGACTTCATCGTCACGGTGGGAGGAGAGTTGGCGTTGGCCCATGTCGCCATCCAATCTCTCCCCTCCATCGGCTTCAACTATGGGAGGCTTGAGCGCCAGCCCGGCGTCTCCCTTGGACCCCAGCCATCTAGGGAGGACCCACGCTGCCTCACCCTCTCTCCAAAACATTC